ACGTGCTGAAAGAAAATTCGTACCAATACCTTCAGCCACCTTTTCATATAAAAAATAATGTAAGATCAATTAATGCAATTTAAACCATTTGAAAGGTGTAACGCTTTGTTTAAATAAATAACAAAACGTTTTATGAGTAATTTTTACATAATGCAGAACGACAAAAAATGGACTATGATCGCAACTTGTCGGTCTAATATCAGCCGTTATTTTGTCGCATGATATTAAGGATGTTTGAGAAATATGTCAAAATGCTACGAAACAAATAAAAATTTGGAAGAACGTTCCTCGTTCAATTGTAAAACTCCTGTAAAAATTACAAATCGATTCACTGAACCGTTAAAAAGTTATTGAAATTTTAAAAAATTGTAATTTTACACGTCATTTTATGGAGATTCGTTAACCGAACAGATTAAATTTATTTTTGTTAACAGAAAAAAGCTACCAGAAATTTGAAACTTTTATAATAAGTAACTTGAAAGAGATACATAAGAATTGAGCTGCTAATGTAACTATTTAACAAATTGAATGTAAAAAGTGTATCGGTATAATTGAAAATCGACCTAATTGTAAATATTTTAAGAGTTTTTGAGATACTATCTGAATAATTATGATTAAAAGGCTGCATTGGGTTTCCTATCTTATAAAAGATTGTTACAATAAGGACAATTAGTAGTGTGATAGTGCATTCTAGTAGGGTTCTTATCCAACCGTCAGTTGATAGTGAGTTACATTACCAATGCATTTCGTATAATTCGAACTACTCCCGGTATCTGGGCCAAAATTCGCCGCTGTCAGGGTCGCATTGAGCGAATGGAGGGCAATTCCAACATTTTTTATAAAAGGTATGCTTTTCTTTTTCACGTTTACTTTTTTTTACAAGGTGGAAGTACATTCGGCTCCTACCCCGGCAGGTAGTTGTTACATCCAGACAAAACAAATTGTACGTTCAAATTTACAAAGACGATTTGCGAGCTCAATTGTCTCTGGATTGAAAAATTGTATAACACTTTTTTGTTATATTTTGTGTCATGAAGCCATGGTTTTCTTTAATTATTATAAATGGGACACCCTGTATATACATATATAAAGAATCAGTGTACGTTTGTGTACATTTACGCTATGCCTTATCAGTATGAAAAATTAAGGGTGGAAAAGGTACATGGAAAAAATGCCGCCTCGCGCCACCCTGTGATATAGATGAACAGGAGACTATTGTGTAACGTGGCGTCGCTATCTGATGTGGTGGACCACGACCAATCTAGCAGTTCAGACAGTAGTTGTTGAGGAAGGTGCGAATGGCAACAGAAAAATGTAGTCGAGCACCATCGTGCATAAACTACATGTCATGTCCCTACCAATAATTGAAGGGAGCAAGCCATTAAACAGGGTGTCTTCCAGAAATTCCAGAGAGATTCGAGAATTTAAACGGACAGGAAGAATATAAGGATCAATGAATCTGTTATCGCACACACCTGCCCATAGTTCATCGAAGAGCGATGTTGGAAATGGTTTTGTCGCACAAACTGCGGTCTGCGAAGGATTCGTCAAAAAAAAAAAACATCTACAAAAGTGCCGCTGGCTCGAGCTTCCAACAATTCCTGCACTTTTCAGTAATAGTAACGGTAATTTTCAAACTCGTGAAGAAAGAAAAGTGACAGATACGCTAGCTCCAAAACGTGCAACCTTTTAAATCTAACTCTAAGAAGTCATTCAATGGAAGTATGCATTTATGTGTGGATGAATAAGTTATTGGACCAGTTATTCAGAATAACTGGTCCAATTTCGTGGAAAAGATCCGTTTCGAGTTTACATGAAAAGTAAACCCGACAAATATGGAATTAAAGTTTGGGCTCTTGCGGATTGTGAAACAGCCTACACAGTAAACATGCAGGTAACAATTTTGTAAAAAAAAAATTAACCGTGTTTACATTTTTTGTTTTTATTGTCGGCAAAGAATGAGGCAGTCCAGAAAAAGGTTAAGGTCAAAGGGTCGTTCACGATATGGTTAGTTAACTAGGACAAGAATACGGAATAACAATCGACAACTTTTTTACTAGCCTTGAATAGGCCGATAAGTTATTCAAGAAAAAACTTTCAGTATGCGGCACCCTACGCAAGAATAAGCCGTATACACTAAATGAATTACTTCCCGCCAGTTATAAAAAAAGAAATTTCCAATATGTTCACCTTTATGGAAAATAAAACACTAGTATCCTATGTGACCACGGAAAATTCTGCTGTGATTTTTTTTGTCAATTGAGATGATAAAATAAGCGATTCTAGTGATTAGTACAAAACTGATATCATTTTATCGTATAATAAGCGGCAGACATAACTGATAAACTTGCCAAGGAATATTCCACCCAACGGAGAACCAACAGGTGACCGATGGTATTTTTTTATCATATGTTAAGCATTGCAGGTATCAATTTATATAAATTATGGACCCATTCGAACCCTGAATGGAAGAAAAATCGACTGGATAAAAAAAGAACGTTCCTGTTAGAATTAGGCCAACAACTGGTGAGAAGCAATATTAGTTCTTGTTTCAAATCAAAACATCCAACAAAATNAGGGATAGGTGGCTAAAAAAATCTTATATATAATTTTTAATTAGACAGTTATTAGAAGCAGAAACTCCAAGTTTTTAGTGGACTACCGCCAGTGACCCATAAAAAACGCATCAGGAAAGAGAGGCAATTAAAAAGTCGTATAAAAGGTCGTATAACATGCTGGAAACCCTGTAGTTACCCCCAGTTTTTAAAGGACTACCGTCAAATAACCCATCGAAGTGCATCCAGGAAAATGTCATAAAAGATCATATAACGTGCTAAGAGAACGTTTGGTAGCATTCATTTCCTTGTCCTCCCGAGCGGAAAGGCTGTAGCCGCCACGAGATTTTGGTGGACAACCCCGAAAAAGTCTATCGAAATACATCCAGGAAAGTGTAAAACGTCGTATAGCGTACTTATAGACGATATTTTATACCATCCATTTCTGGGTCCTCCTACGCGGAAAGACTGGAGTTACCCCAAATTTTTGAAAGACTACCACCAAGCAATTCCATTCAGGAAAATGTGGTAAAATGTCGTATAATGTGCTAAGATAACGTTTGGTAGGATCCATTTCCTTGTCCTCCTGAGTGAAAATGCTATAGCTACCACGAGATTTTGGTGGACTGTTGCTAACTAACCCATCAAAAGAAACGTCCATCGCAAAACGTCGTACAAAGACGACGTTTAGTGCCATCCATTCCCTTGTCCTCTTAAGCACAGAGGATGTAGTTACCACGAGATTTTGGTGGACTACCGCCAAGTAAACCTTCGAAGTGCATTCAGGGAAATGTCGTAAAACGTTTGGTAGCATCCATTTCCTTGTCCTTCTGAGCGGAGAGGCTATGGCTACCACGAGATTTTGGTGAATAATTCCCAACTGACCCATTGAAATGCATTCACGAAAGAGTCGCAAAACGGCGTATAGCGTGCTTAGACGACGTTTGATACTATCCATTTCTTCGCAATCCACGCGAAAAAACTGCAGCTACCCAAAGTTTTTGATAAACTACCGACAGGTAGCCCATCGAAATTGTCTTACCCTCCTAAGCATAGAGGATATTGTTACCACGAGATTGTGGGGGACCACCGTCAAGTAGCTCGTCGAAGTGCATTCAGAAAAATGTCGTTAAACGTCATATAGCGTGCTAAGGTGACTAATAGTAACATTCATTTCCTTGTCCTGAGCGGGGAGGCTGTAGCTGCCACGAACATTTGGTGGACTATTACCAACTAATCCATCAAAATGCATTCAGGAAAGAGTGGCAAAGTAATCCACCCGGAAAGACTACAGCCACCCCGAGTTTTTGAACGGCTACCGCCAAGTAACCTATCGAAAAACATTTAGGAAAGTGGCGCAAAACATCCATCCATTTCCTTCACCTTCTGAGCAAAGCTATCAAGAGATCTTAGCAAACAACCGCCAAGTAACCCGTCGAAATGCATTCTAGGAAGTGTGGATTAGATTTATAGACTTAAGGAACAGCTGATTATTTATAATTATTGCATGGACAAGTTCAGAGGACTCTATACATGATGTTAATATATTTGCACTATTCTAATTTGATATTATTTATTTAACTTCGCCTCGTAGAGACATACAAGATATCTGTACATAGTTTTGAGAAAAATAAAGTATAACTGATATAAACAAAAATTAAGACATATATAATATGTATCATCATATAGCGGGAAATAAATCACCTTTCGCACTCTAACCAATTTACTCTTTACTTAACACCACTACTATTAATTAATCACGCGCTTACTACTGCATCGACCACTAAATCTCATTCGCTCTTTTTATTTCGCCTTCTGTTCTAAAAATATTGTAAAATGTAGATTCTAGAGAATCCGGTATTCTTTGCTACTAACGTAATCTAGGCAATCCATTATAGGACTCTTAATGTTTCTTCACGTATGGTGGGTTGCCTACACATGACAGTATCATCGTTTCTTCTAAAAGGGGCGGAAATCGATAAAAGGTTGGTAATATCTGCGTTAGTATATTATATTACTCACTTAAACAAGAAAAATAAATCATGTGTCTCAGAACGCATATTAGTTTCCTCTTCTGATGAGTATGTTGGTTTTCACCACCCTTGGACAGGAAGTGAAAATTTCTTAAGTCAGTAATTAGTAAGTAATAGATACATTATATTAGGTTAGGTTAATATTGAGGGTGGGCCAATCGTTTGCGTTTATTTAAAAAAGAATTTCAAAAGCATAAAAAATATTTCCGAAACAAATATTTTGCCTTTTAACATCTTTTCATGTTTTTAATACACAATTTTTAATTTACTTATAAATTAATAAAAAAGGTATCGTATTAATTTACTTGAACGTTACTATATACGTAGGGATTTTCATTTTACAAGAGTGTTATAAGACCATAGATAATACCATAAATTACAGTGATATGACCTATCTATGGATAATGACGTCGCTTCTGCGCTTGCAAAATGGCTGCGTCGTGTTTTTCTTAGTGAAATCATATGAAATAGCCGTTTTATAGTGAAATTTACGATCATAATTTATTAATTTATTGTTTTAATAAATTTATCTCGGACGTAGTGACCATGTAAATCATTTAAAGTGTTAAGAAAGGAACATTAAATGTTAACTGGTGCAACTGAACATTGATTATTCGTTTGGCGTTTCACCTAACAGGAACCCGCCACGATTTACCAGATAGATAATAACCCAGTTAATACATTATTTCTAATTTAGGTATAGATATATAAATATTTGTAAATAAATAAATAACTAGCACAAATTTAGTAGTGTTTTTGCCTTATGTACCGTACAGTTTACTGAACGTGTGGTTATATTAACGAAAAGATAAATAACCTCAATTCACCTCAAAACGCTAAAAATTAAATTTTACCTTTGAATAAATCTTTTTAAATCATCCAATCATTTCTATATTAAAGTTGATATAACCACCTAATAAATAATAGTAATCAAAGGTTTTGTTTCAGTTACAGCATGTCAAACAGTGTTGTTAAGGTTACTGAATTGCCAACAAATGAGGGTTTATTTGTTCTTAAAGGAAAAGACGGAGTTATAATGCCAGATCGAGAAACATTAGAAAAATATTTGAGTAAGTAGGTAGTAATTATATGACAGTTACCATCTTTTGAATGTAAAAAATTCTAGGTGGACGAAAACAAGAAACTGAAATAAACTTAATTTGTATTAATGAGGCTTATGGAAACAATATTGAGGCAACAATGGAGCCTCTTATTTATGATCCTAATAACACTGAAGATATGCTAGAAGAAAGTAAGTTTTAAAATAAGTATTTTTATTTATTTTTTGTCAAATAATAATTGGTATTTTACATTAACCTTCAACTCACTATTTTGTGCTGTCTTATCTTATTTTGGAATAATTATAAACATGTTAAGTAACTATTTATGAAGAGGTGTGAAAAACAGTTTATAACATTTTAGCCTGACAGGTATTTGATATTTCCTATATTCACTGTTCAATAAATTTATTTTTAATATTTGACAGGTTCTAATTTGTCATTCTTTAACTTGTCTGAGTATTTAATAAAACAATATACTGTAAAAAGTATATTTCAAATTTTACCAAAATCAGAAATATTGTCAGATAGTGTATTAAATAAATATCATATTTCAGGTATGAAAATGGAAACAAGTTGCGAAGTTTTGAAGTAAATACTTGTAAAGTGAAAGAATTTAAAAAGAAGCACTTGTTATTAAAAAAATATTACTGTTTATTACGAGATTTATTAATAAATGAATGTTATTTAAATTTTTATGTTATTTTCTTAATCATAGAATATGTTGATAATCTCAGTTATTTCTGTCATATTTGAAAATGTACAATTACTTTTAGTATATACTAATTTTAATTATTGAAATGTTCTAGTTGTGCCATCAGAAATGGATGAAAATGAGAAGTCCCTGCAACAAAACTTGTTATACTTCCGTTTGGATCATGATTATACGTTGCTGGAATCTCCAAAACAAACAAGTCCTGAACATTTGGAAGAAACAGATGAACTGGCTCAAACGTTAAGTATTTTAGAAGGTTGCAGTGTAGCTTCTCCACCTCCACTAGTGCAAAGGCAGCAGGAACCTGTTTCAAAACCAGTCGTAAATATAGTAAAGCAACAACCTACCCTTCTTCATATGCAACAGGCTACTAAAGCAAAAGTGAAAAGAGTAGTAGAAGACAAAAAATCTGCCACTGAATTGACTTCTAAACAGCAAAGTACAAAATCTATTTCAAGGAAATCTCCTAAGCAAACGCAACTAGATTCACAAGGTAAAAGTGATGAAGAAAGTGCAGATGATGAAGATTTTACATTGGAGTCTGAAGAATCTGATGATGAAGACGACGAAAATGACTCCGATTTTGAATTGGATGATTCCACAAAAGTTAAACTATCCAAAAGAACAAGAGGACGACGGAAAAGAGATGGCACTGCTTTGGTTGAGGATAAGAAACAAAAAGCTGGAAGAATTCACAAGATTCAAGCTAAGTCACTTACAAAACAAGTTACGTCACCTGTTGAAAAAGAATTAGAGCAGATTAAATCAGTTGAGAAACCTCCTGAAGCTGCATCAGAACAAAGAACTCCTGAAAAGAAACCTATCAAAAAGGAAAAGAAAGTTCCCAAGCCATTACCCGATGATTTTGCGCTATTTTCAACTCCTGATATTATTCGAAGAGTTGGGGGAAAACACGAAACTTCCACTTCTACACCCACAACTCCTATAGTAGATTCATCCATCAATACACCTAAACCAGCAAAAATTACTGCTGAAGCACGGACAAAATCGTTTTCAGAACGTTCTTCAATTGAAGGCAAAGTTAAGAGACCAAGTACTGACTCAAAATTGTTGCCAAACGAAAAAGTAAATATTAAACCTAAAACTAACATTGAAGATAAAAATAAAGACAGGAGAATGAGTTTAGATACCAAATCCTCTCATCCTGCAGACAGAAGACTCAGTTTAAATTTGGACTCGAAAAAAACATCAAATCAAGGAAATCTTGCAAAGCCTCTTGTTAAGACAAGTTCTGCACAATTCATAAATAGAAATGATCAAGTAATTATACAAAGTGTTGACGAATCTGCTGGAAGCAGTTCCAGTGAAAACATTTCTGGTCAAATGGATGCGATGCCCAGTGTAGAAGATATTCGTGCTATGATTCAGAATGAGGATACCAAAACTTACTCAAACAGCCTTGTTATTCCAGATCCCGTTCCAAACGGACAGCCACAACAGGCAAATGTTGATCAAAATTCTATAAATCTAGAAGGAAGTGGTTTGGATATTGATCCCCTTTTGGAAAATATTAACTCCGATTTGATATCAGAAGATATTCTATATCAAGTTGCTCAGTCGCTTGCTGACAACACTGAATTACAAAACGCAATTGATAAATCATTAAACGATGGTAATTTAGTACTTGATCCCAATGTTCAACAGGCTATTGCACAAACCCAAAATGTGGGATCTCATCTAGAAACACATCAAAAAAATGTAAGTTATTTTTTTAAGTTAGTGACATTTTTTAACTCAATATGGTTATGTAATGTATTGTCAAGGTGACATTGTTTTAATTTTATTTTTTTACAGTTTAATTACTTTGTTTACATTTTCAAACTGCTTATAGAAGTTGTCTATTAAGCAACGTTTTATATATGACTGGCAACTCACAGATGTATTGATTTATATTTAACATTTACATTACTTTTAAATATGTTCAAAAAAAGGTGTGTCTGTTAATGAGAGCGCTATGTTCTCGGTAGCTTTGATTAAATAGTCTTTAGGTTTGGTAAAGAATTTTATATACATTTCTAAAGTATAAATTACATTAATTTCAGAACAGAAAACGAAACAGTGTATAGTAAATATTCTACCGTCAAAATAATTTTATTTGTGCTGTAAGAATAATCCTTAGAGCATAAATACCTACAGACAACATCCTAAAGTACAGTACTACATTGGTGAATATGTGGCACCATTCTGTCTCGTTTTAACGCGGTCTGATTGACATTCCCTTTCTAACAACTTTGTACTGTCGGCTACGCTAATGATTAAAACGCACGTTTATTTTGGATTGTATATTACATGTAAAAAATGCAAATACAATTGCAATATAAAAAAGCGGTACAGTTACACAGATTAACATCCCAGATTATGTTTACATATGCATAACTATGATAATATTCTATAATGTAGTCTGCTTAACAAATCAATCATTAAAATAACACAAAATTTTTTGTATTTTCTATTATAACACATTCAGTTTTTATATATAATAAGCCATAATTAAGTATTTTAATTATGGTAGTTCTTGTTTTCCTCGATGCAGTGGGGACTTGAGCTTTGTATAAGTACGTGTGTGTGAAAATATACAGAGATACTCGTCTGAGGAATACGTGCTAATCAAGCCGCATTAGGAATGATGCCCCACATTTCCTATCTCTATTGCACCACCGTACTATTCTACTGTCTCCAGCTATTTATGCTATAGGGTTTAACCGCATAGTAGAAAAAAAAATAGTTTCACATTTACAAGTTTCTAAAAGAAAAAAAAACCTTAAAAGTATATACATAAAGTTCTCAAAGTTAAGCGCTTGACTTTTTAGAAAATTGTGTTTTCGTCAACTGCAACAAAATTGTGTAACGGTAATGAAAAAAGAGAAATTCGTGTAAATAAACACAAATGTTTGTAAAAGAGCCCGCAAATACGACAACAAGATATGTACAGTCAAGCTTCGATAATTGAAACCACAAGTTCGAGTTTTAAGGTGTCAAGTTATTAAAAAGTATAGCTGTATAAACATATAAAGACTACCCCCAGCGATTTTTTAATACCCATACAATTAATAGTTAAAATAAAAACTTCTGAAAATTTTGGCTTACTAACCTCAAAATTTACGGTACAATATGAAAAAACGTGTTTTTTATTTCATTGTCATTGTTACCCTCCATATTTTTTTTAGTATTTTTGGCGCCATTTTTAAATATTCGAATGTCAATCACTATTAAGTTATAAGAATGCTTTTTATTTGCAACTATCTAATAAAATTTTTAATTTAATCTGGTTTATGCAACAGTAAAAAATGAAATTGATATTTTTCGGATACCGGCCACTATCAATAATATTTCTTAATATTAAAAAAGTATATATAACTATGTAGTTATTTATATCTGTAAACAAAGCTATAAAGTTAATTCTTATTTATACAATCTTTAGAACTGAAATGATTATTCTTATTTGAAAAGGTAAATGTTAATTAATTGCTAATGTTTAAATATTACAGATAAATACACCTAAAGCGTCAATAGTACCAAACACTTCGAAAGGTACTCAGATCGTGAGACCTGATGGAAGAGTTGTTATTATTCCACCAATCGAAAGACCAGCAACCAGAAGTAGAAATCGAAAACAACAACAAAGTCCTGAGGTTTCAAAAGCAACGCCAAAGTATGATTTCTCCTTTTTTTTTTAACTTTTTTCGCTAATAGGTAACTATGCATTTATGATTATATAATTGTTAACTTTTTTAGAGTTGTTCACAAGCCATTAGATGAAGAACACGTATCAGGAAACGAGTTGGACAGTTCAGATGCCGAAGCAGAGCAGGAAGAGGAGGAGGAGGAAGAAGAAGACGATAGATCCGATGATGATCCTGATAAATTATGGTGCATTTGCAATCAGCCGCATAATAATCGTTTCATGATATGTTGTGACCAGTGTGAAGAATGGTATCATGGAAAATGTGTCAATGTTACAAAAGCCATGGGACAACTTATGGAGCAAGAAGGCAGAGAATGGATTTGTGTTTACTGTAAGGTAAGTAAAAATAAAGTGAATGCATTATGTCATCACTTTTTATTACTACATTTAAGTTAAAAATGTAGCAATTTAAGAGTTATTGTATTATTTACTGAAAGCGTAATAGTTAGTTATTTCCCTTTTTTACCATACACTTAAGTTGGCAGCATATGGGAAACGTTTCTGAAGTGAAACTTCTTTACACACGGTAGGGTAAGTTCGTTTCATGCGAGTTGCTATGTAACGAAACCATGCAACGGATGTCCCCCCTCTACTTGGTCACGTAGTCGAGTTCGTAATGGGAATCGCTTGAGCCATGAGCGTGCTTCAATGCAAGTTTCGTTACAGGCAACTCCTGCATGTATAGTGTAAAATTTCAATTCATATTGTACAAATAACACCTTTAAACCAATTNAAAGTTTTAATTATTATTTAAACATATTAAAAAGTTTTATGCTCATTATTAATAGAGATTGAAACTAAATATTTTTTTGTTTCGAAGTTGAAATCAAGGCATATTCACTGCCAAAAGTCAGTTGAAAATCTCGTTTTTACTTGATAATATTTATAATTGTCTGAAATAAATGCAATTTTAAAGTTTTAATTATTATTTAAACATATTAAAAAGTTTTATGCTCATTATTAATAGAGATTGAAACTAAATATTTTTTTGTTTCGAAGTTGAAATTAAGGCATATTCACTGCCAAAAGTCAGTTAAAAGTCTTCCATACTATTCGTTATTTCTTATTTTATTCAAAGTTTTCGCTTAAATTCCAATTTTTCTCCCAAAGCGTATACTTTTATTTTTAGTATGGATAGTATTGATTTACCTCATGATATGCTGCAAAACCTAATTAACCACGAATTTCTAATTTTATGTACTCTTGTCTCCGATTGTACCTAACATTCTTAAGCCAACAACGAAACAAGTTACCTACAACATGCCGTTGCTTTTGTTACGAGATTATTGGCGACAATATTTTCGGGGTTGTAATATTTAAGACACTTAAATGTACCTAAACGTCGTTCCACGTGAAATTGCAATAAAAATATCAGAAACGGAAAATCGCATTGGAATCGCAGTCGTCTGAAATAGTCCTAACTCGTAAAATATTAATATTTTTCCAATAAAAAGCAGACAAAAAGAGATAACATGTTCTTTATTTATTATGTAATCTCCAACCGATGTTTCGCCTTTCTAGTCCAAAACTTGGGCATAACAAATAAAGAACATTTCTTCCCTTTTTGGCTGCTTTTTATTGAAAAAATGTTAATATTATCATTGGGGAAGATAGTACAAAGGCGTAAAATATTGATTCTAGAAAGGAAACCATGAAAGACTGTGTATTTCTTAATAACCAACATTTCTTCTGATTTTCTTCCTATGACTTTAAACGTTATACTACCTACTTATCTCACAAATTAGATTATAAAATAATTGTACTGATTTTTAAAAAAAAAAACTTATTGGGATATCTATCAGTCCATCATATTCAAAATCTGTGGTGAGAGACACCGAATGGTTGATGCTACCCCAAACTAAATGAAAGTATATTTTAGGAAACTGTAAAATAATAAAGTGGTATATGCTGGGAGTTAAGAACATTTGCAAACAATAAAACCAAATAAGAAATTTTCATAGAAGAGAAAGATAACAGTAAAATCATTCTTATTTATAATATCGATTTCATCCAATTTATAATAGTAAGTGCGTACTTATTTAAACTTTAAAAAACTTACCTCTTTTTTGTGATTTTATTATTCATCTTCTGGAAGCCAAAACACAACACAATGCACACTCTCACGAATTACCAGTAACTATATTTTGAACAAAAGTAATAATGTATAATGTATTCTTTTGAAACGTAAGGAACTGCCATAGGCAAACAAATCAATCGGTTCTTCATAGGAAACATAAACGTGACATCCTGTTTCGACTCAATAATTAAAATTCTAGCTGCTTTGTTTTAATAAGTCCCACAAAATATTTATTTATTACCTGCTCGATAATATTTTTAATAGTACATATAATGGAAAGTATTCTTAAGGAATTTTAATAAATAAAAAAATAATTACTTAGCTATCGTACAATATTACGATAACTGGTTTAAAGAAAAATTCGAATTTTCTTTTTTTTTTAATACAAGAGGGATAGGTGGCTAAAAAAATCTTATATATAATTTTTAATTAGACAGTTATTAGAAGCAGAAACTCCAAGTTTTTAGTGGACTACCGCCAGTGACCCATAAAAAACGCATCAGGAAAGAGAGGCAATTAAAAAGTCGTATAAAAGGTCGTATAACATGCTGGAAACCCTGTAGTTACCCCCAGTTTTTAAAGGACTACCGTCAAATAACCCATCGAAGTGCATCCAGGAAAATGTCATAAAAGATCATATAACGTGCTAAGAGAACGTTTGGTAGCATTCATTTCCTTGTCCTCCCGAGCGGAAAGGCTGTAGCCGCCACGAGATTTTGGTGGACAACCCCGAAAAAGTCTATCGAAATACATCCAGGAAAGTGTAAAACGTCGTATAGCGTACTTATAGACGATATTTTATACCATCCATTTCTGGGTCCTCCTACGCGGAAAGACTGGAGTTACCCCAAATTTTTGAAAGACTACCACCAAGCAATTCCATTCAGGAAAATGTGGTAAAATGTCGTATAATGTGCTAAGATAACGTTTGGTAGGATCCATTTCCTTGTCCTCCTGAGTGAAAATGCTATAGCTACCACGAGATTTTGGTGGACTGTTGCTAACTAACCCATCAAAAGAAACGTCCATCGCAAAACGTCGTACAAAGACGACGTTTAGTGCCATCCATTCCCTTGTCCTCTTAAGCACAGAGGATGTAGTTACCACGAGATTTTGGTGGACTACCGCCAAGTAAACCTTCGAAGTGCATTCAGGGAAATGTCGTAAAACGTTTGGTAGCATCCATTTCCTTGTCCTTCTGAGCGGAGAGGCTATGGCTACCACGAGATTTTGGTGAATAATTCCCAACTGACCCATTGAAATGCATTCACGAAAGAGTCGCAAAACGGCGTATAGCGTGCTTAGACGACGTTTGATACTATCCATTTCTTCGCAATCCACGCGAAAAAACTGCAGCTACCCAAAGTTTTTGATAAACTACCGACAGGTAGCCCATCGAAATTGTCTTACCCTCCTAAGCATAGAGGATATTGTTACCACGAGATTGTGGGGGACCACCGTCAAGTAGCTCGTCGAAGTGCATTCAGAAAAATGTCGTTAAACGTCATATAGCGTGCTAAGGTGACTAATAGTAACATTCATTTCCTTGTCCTGAGCGGGGAGGCTGTAGCTGCCACGAACATTTGGTGGACTATTACCAACTAATCCATCAAAATGCATTCAGGAAAGAGTGGCAAAGTAATCCACCCGGAAAGACTACAGCCACCCCGAGTTTTTGAACGGCTACCGCCAAGTAACCTATCGAAAAACATTTAGGAAAGTGGCGCAAAACATCCATCCATTTCCTTCACCTTCTGAGCAAAGCTATCAAGAGATCTTAGCAAACAACCGCCAAGTAACCCGTCGAAATGCATTCTAGGAAGTGTGGATTAGATTTATAGACTTAAGGAACAGCTGATTATTTATAATTATTGCATGGACAAGTTCAGAGGACTCTATACATGATGTTAATATATTTGCACTATTCTAATTTGATATTATTTATTTAACTTCGCCTCGTAGAGACATACAAGATATCTGTACATAGTTTTGAGAAAAATAAAGTATAACTGATATAAACAAAAATTAAGACATATATAATATGTATCATCATATAGCGGGAAATAAATCACCTTTCGCACTCTAACCAATTTACTCTTTACTTAACACCACTACTATTAATTAATCACGCGCTTACTACTGCATCGACCACTAAATCTCATTCGCTCTTTTTATTTCGCCTTCTGTTCTAAAAATATTGTAAAATGTAGATTCTAGAGAATCCGGTATTCTTTGCTACTAACGTAATCTAGGCAATCCATTATAGGACTCTTAATGTTTCTTCACGTATGGTGGGTTGCCTACACATGACAGTATCATCGTTTCTTCTAAAAGGGGCGGAAATCGATAAAAGGTTGGTAATATCTGCGTTAGTATATTATATTACTCACTTAAACAAGAAAAATAAATCATGTGTCTCAGAACGCATATTAGTTTCCTCTTCTGATGAGTATGTTGGTTTTCACCACCCTTGGACAGGAAGTGAAAATTTCTTAAGTCAGTAATTAGTAAGTAATAGATACATTATATTAGGTTAGGTTAATATTGAGGGTGGGCCAATCGTTTGCGTTTATTTAAAAAAGAATTTCAAAAGCATAAAAAATATTTCCGAAACAAATATTTTGCCTTTTAACATCTTTTCATGTTTTTAATACACAATTTTTAATTTACTTATAAATTAATAAAAAAGGTATCGTATTAATTTACTTGAACGTTACTATATACGTAGGGATTTTCATTTTACAAGAGTGTTATAAGACCATAGATAATACCATAAATTACAGTGATATGACCTATCTATGGATAATGACGTCGCTTCTGCGCTTGCAAAATGGCTGCGTCGTGTTTTTCTTAGTGAAATCATATGAAATAGCCGTTTTATAGTGAAATTTACGATCATAATTTATTAATTTATTGTTTTAATAAATTTATCTCGGACGTAGTGACCATGTAAATCATTTAAAGTGTTAAGAAAGGAACATTAAATGTTAACTGGTGCAACTGAACATTGATTATTCGTTTGGCGTTTCACCTAACAGGAACCCGCCACGATTTACCAGATAGATAATAACCCAGTTAATACATTATTTCTAATTTAGGTATAGATATATAAATATTTGTAAATAAATAAATAACTAGCACAAATTTAGTAGTGTTTTTGCCTTATGTACCGTACAGTTTACTGAACGTGTGGTTATATTAACGAAAAGATAAATAACCTCAATTCACCTCAAAACGCTAAAAATTAAATTTTACCTTTGAATAAATCTTTTTAAATCATCCAATCATTTCTATATTAAAGTTGATATAACCACCTAATAAATAATAGTAATCAAAGGTTTTGTTTCAGTTACAGCATGTCAAACAGTGTTGTTAAGGTTACTGAATTGCCAACAAATGAGGGTTTATTTGTTCTTAAAGGAAAAGACGGAGTTATAATGCCAGATCGAGAAACATTAGAAAAATATTTGAGTAAGTAGGTAGTAATTATATGACAGTTACCATCTTTTGAATGTAAAAAATTCTAGGTGGACGAAAACAAGAAACTGAAATAAACTTAATTTGTATTAATGAGGCTTATGGAAACAATAT